TCATAATTTTTTAAAATTTCTCCTCTTTTTTCATAAAATGTTTAATAGTTTGTTAATGATTATCCTTAACAATTTTAATTACATGCTTGGTTGTGTGAGCACACATTATTCTTGGTCTACCTGACCATGGAGCAACCTTGACTTTTCCAAACTTCTTATATCAATTAATTACACTTGTAACTGTTGTTCTTGATCAATTTAAAGTTTCAGCAATCTTTTTATGTGAAAAAATCACCTTTAACAAGCCAACTATTTCACCACATTCAAAATCTGTTAACTGAAAACCTTTCTTTGATTTTTGAATGTTTAAAATTATGGCAAGAAAAATTTTTTAATTAATTATATTTGAAAGCTACGGTTTTCGGCTTTCTAAAAGTATAAATTATTTTATATTTACAGTCGACTATGTTGCACAATTGAATTTTAACTTTGAGCGAAAATTTCTAAAATACAGTATCACCGTTGATCATTTCGAACGCAGACTTTTGTCCACTCAGTGTATGTCAATAATGAGTTAGTTGTTATTATAAAATTGTCGAATGTCATTATATAAAATAAATCGTGATGGCCTGATAAAATACGTAAAAAGAAAATTCCTCAAATCCATAATACAGTATATTTGGTTTATATTAATAATATAAAAAAGTTCGACCTTCAAAATTTGTGGCGCTACATTATTTTAGAGAGACCAGACTTATTAGACTTCATGACACTTTTTGAACAGCCACCATCTCTTGTCGCTCAGCCGAAAATGCTAGCTCAAATATGGTTGCCCTATTCAAACTATTATTCGTGTCAAGATACGCATTATTATTAGGTTGTAGATCTGTGAATTGTTATCATTCAGCTTATCTAATATAAAGTAGTACACAATAATGAGAGAAAAAAAGGTGATGGGAGATTTACGTTATCATTTCAGGAGAAAGGAAACGGAATTAAGACCCGAAGGCAACCGAGATATAAAATGATCGCGAGTGCGCATAACACGTTATCATATCGCGTATAATTTGACGCCAACATGTAAATCCTTTTTTTTGTCAATTCCAGCCAGAATTAACTTTTATATCCTGATCCAAACGCCCGGTAATAAAAACTCGTTTCACAAAGATCTATTGCGTCTTTCCTGAATTGGAGCCAAAATCTTTAGCCACAGATATACAAATATACATATTAAAATTTTTATGAAAAAAGAGGAGAAATTTTAAAAAATTATGAAGACAGGTCAGTCGTTCTCTTAAACAAAGTTTCGCCTGAAATTTTTTATTTTTATTTAGTTTATGGCACAGAAACATAAGTTGTATATTATACAGAAAGTTCGTTTCACCAAGCGAAAAACTCATTCCTTATAATTGAAGTTTGATTGCTAGCGCCTCTCATCTTGTAAAATGTCACAAACAACGTTAAAAGAATATGAACTCGCCCCTCCGAAGAATTTGGCACAATTACATAAGACGAATCGTGATTTGGGTATGTGAAGAATTCTACACGATATTCTAGAGGCCAAGGTCTTTGAGCACGAATAATTAAGATTTCTTCTGCACACCATATATGGAGACTGCAACCATTTATTTTTATGGAATACATTGAATCAGAAATTTACAATTTTTATGTTTGTGGTAACGATAATCATAGGTTTTCCTGATTTCTATCCCCCAAAGAATGGTCAAGATGAGGAATCGATGACAGAGGAACACGTAAAGCATGGATTTTTCGATAAGCCCTTTGTGTCAAATGAATACGTTTCAGCGCATGATATTCTTGTGGAGAAAATAAAAGATCCAGAATGCCTTCAAAATCTGAGCGAATTTATGACTGACATTATGAAAAGAAAACAGGAGATAGAGATGAACACTTTGCAAGGGTTGGTGTTTTTCAGTGGCTGCATCAAGCGAATTCAAATTGTCATAAATTAAGACAGACCTTCTGTATAGTTCTTCATCATACACCGTTCCGCAGACAGTATGGGTGGCTCCTGATGAAAGGGATAAGTGGCTAAAACAGCTGGCTGGGAATGTGCCCCTAAGGGAATTGGTGAAAAACGTGCCAAAAGGGTATGCCGTTTTTTTCATTTCGCTGGTGCATGAAATAAATGTGTGAGCAATAATTGAGATTCTATATATATACTATGCTGATAATTGTAACCATTCTGCATGCAGAGTGGAAGGTACCAATCTGTTGGAATTAGTTACTCTTCATCGGGTACCTTTAGCGAGGGCCACATGGTTTACCAAGATAGTGGGAATTAATTTAACAGTAAGGCAATTCCTTAAAAATCCTTATGCGATCACTCTTCACATCACAGCTCGCGAATTACATTTTATGTATTATATTCACAGCATAATGACATTTATCGTAACTCAACCGAGCATACCAAGAATTGGACGCAGACATTCTGTACTTTCATACAACTGCAGAGCAAAGATTATGACCCGGAAAAGTGGAGATATAGGTGATGGGAATTCTTTATCACTGATGATACATATTATTACGCATAATTAATTTCATCTCACTCAATAATTATCTCAAAAATCCTTTTTTAGCATATCACTTGCCAAATGGCAATTTGACGAGGGATTGTTTGATCAACGGCTTCTGCGGGGAATGCTTGACAATCTAGATCAGGCTGACCCTTTACATACTGCAATATGGCTATTGCTTGTCCAACAATTCTTGGCAGAGTTTCAGCGCTCTCGGACCCTCATGAGATTGTTGATAGAAATCATATTGAAAAAATTGCAGGATGTAGGTTAATCAATTAATGTTTCATATGTTTGTTATCATTATTAAAATTGATGACTTAATCTTTATCATCGTGACCAGATCTATCAACAGTCATTAGCCTCAAAGCTTGAGATCGTAGTAAAAATGTTGAAAAATATGTTGCATGTAGGAGATCTTCTACTGTTTTGTTTTAATTGAATTGCGATAATGATTGTTTGGTCTTTTCTTTTGAATTCAGACACTTTTCCTTGCGACTCCCGACATGTTTGTGTTCCCAACTTGCTGGAATACGTACAAAGATTTGTTGAGACGCGTCCTTGTTGAAGATAGTCCTACCAGGTTTGACACAATTCCATCGAAGAATTTGAAACGCCAGAGAGAAAGATATTATGAGTTGATACGTGCCAGGAATGAAGTATTTGATGAAAAGAAATCCGACATTATTGGAAAGAGGAGTGCACAGGAGTTACAAAAGAACAGGATGATAAATGTATGTTTAAGATCAAATTTTTTTTAATATAGTTCTAATATTCTTTTTTTTTTTTTTATAAAAAAAAAAATGAATTAGATTCTAGATGCGATTTCACTTAACACCGATTATCAAAACATAGTTGTCAAATACTTTCGCACAAACAATAAAGCCCAGATGTTGGAAGCTGAATTTTCAACACACATTTATACCTTATGTTATTGGGCAATAACGAATCATCGGGCGGGAGATTACCGCGTTTATTCGGTGTGCAGCATACTTGACATATGGGAAAACGAAGTGACGGAAGTCGAAGAAAGGTTTCAACGACAGAATTTAATCCAAAACTGCTTGATGGAGTTTTTGGATAACTACCCGTTTGGACATAACGGAATGTGTGAACGAGAAGGTTGTTTTTTTTTTTTTGTTTTTTTTTTTTTCGTTCATTGTCAATTTAATTAACCCTCAGTTACTAAAACTTCATTGTCTTAATAGAAACCGAAGTTATCTCTCGGCTTTTTGGAGAACTTATCCGTAACGGTCACTTTTCTCATCAACGTTATTTGCAGAGGTTGATAGCGCGAGGTGATATGATTCAAGAGAGAAGGACTAGCGAGGTTAGCCTCTCGAATACATTATTGCACATAAGGTTTTACACGCGTACAATTTAAGATTCATCTAATTTATTTGTGAACAGAGATCAAAACGTCATTTGAGATATCTAGAACATTTTCCACTTTATAATGCCGAACTTCATCATCTGAATCAGAGACGAATTATTTTATATGGGGTTAATAAGAATGTATGTTGTTCGACTAGCATGTCTTTCCTAATCGAAAATTAGAGATTAAGTATAAATGAACGAATCATTTGCTCAACAGGACAGCCGTGATCAATCGGTATACGATGCCATGGTCCACAGGATAAAAATTAAATTGCCTTACATGTTTCCAGAATCTAGTAAGTGCACATTCTTAAATCAATCAACATTAAATCTAAATTATTAATCTACAGCATCTCCTTAATGCAGATAATGAATTGGATGAACCGATAGTTGATAACCCTATCGCCGATTCTCACCTGGCCTTGAATTTTGACCATGAAACGCTTAATTGTATAAAGCATGCGACAAAGTTCTGTCAGATAGATGTGATACGAGGGTGGTTGCTACCGGCCGTAAAATCTTTCGTACAGAATGCTCCGTACGCATACATGTCTCGTATAATTTCTCATTTCCTGTTTCGAGTATTAAACCTTCATTCCATGCACCTTCGTTACTCGATATAGCATCGGGCTACATAATTGGCGAAATACGACTCAACCTGGATCATCGCTACTGAATGCTCGCCAGTTTTCAACGATAATCCAAGCCATCGAATTTGCTAAAGATCATAATTCATTGCTCGAGGTACTTATTCATTTTGAAATAATTCGTGCGACTTGTGCTTACCTTCTAAGAAATTTCTCCCTTTATATGTAGATACTTTTGTGGGTCCTCGAAAATTCTATGGAACGAAGTTTACTACAATTGATTATTGACACACTCAAACGACATGAAATTGTTTGGGCGGCCATGAGAAAATCCGATCTAATTTTCGAAAGTCTTATGAGAAAAGTAATGTCATCTTACTTGAACTTGCATTATTTAATGAAAATGATGTTTATCTGATAAATTGGGGTTTTTTTTTCTTTTTCTTTTTTTTTTTTTTTTTTTTTTTTCCTTCTAGAATGACTTGCTTCGAGAGAAGAGATCGATCGAATTGTGCCTGGTAAAATATTTGTCCAATTTACTAACCGAAGCTGGTAATGAGAAGAAGCAGAAGGTAACGTAAAATCCTTTTTTAAATCATTTGACTTTTATAAATCAAAAAGTTCTAAACCGATGATTCCTAATCCACAATAGCTAGAGCGAGACTTGCAGTCTTTTACGTTCAACAAGGTTGGTTTCTGATAATTTTCTATTCGTCATATAATTCCTGATCGCATATTTTCAAAAATACCAATAGGAACAATTATCACACGCCATAGCACGCTATCGTCCTCAGCTTACCCGCTACTCCGGATTTAGGATATCTAGCGTCGACTTTCGGACTTTTCAAACTGACGCGGTTGATGGATATTTGTATAAAATATTTGAATCGTTTATAAAAGATATTATTCAGTACTCCCAGAGTTGTTCAGATAATGATATTTCAAATATGAGGGGTATACTGGGGATCTTCGGCGATTTGTTCAGGGAGATAGGAGACATAACATCGGACGGATTTGACTTGATCTTCAAGAAGTGGGTAAAAAGCAATGTCCGTGCTGACGATGACTGTATTCTAAGGAGCGACAGGAGTCAATGGTTTTTGAGCTTCTTTGTCACACTTGTCGTTCGTCACTTGGTCAGCATGGATGTCGTGATGGAGCATCTTTGTGAGAGAAACCTGAGCAGGTTATTGGAAAAAATAAATTCCCATAAACAGTTGGATCCTAGAGATTTGATAGAATGCAAAAATATGGCCATCATCTTGAGACTGATGCTCATTCAAGATGATGGTGACAATCCTTGTTCTGAAATACCTCTGAGCACTATGGTAAGAGGTCTATCTCATCAATTTCGTGGAAATGGTTATCTAAATTTAATTCATTTTTTTTTAGGAAGTCCAAGTTCTCCAGTATAACTGTGAAACTCTATCACGGAATAAAGATATCACTTTCACTGATACAATAGCTAACATCTTTCAAAAACTCGCCCTCATCGAATGCTCGATTGACCCCAATGATTCACTGGTCGTTTACCTTCAACAATTAAGGGTAGACTTATCCAAGGTTTATTGGTTCAAACAGTTGTGCGCTGTCGACGTCGAAAACGTCTATCGTCGATTCGTCAAGGTTTCCAAGAAGTTGACGAAGAGTAAAGAAATAGAAAAATGCATGATCGAAATAATGCAGACATCTTTATCCAGCAGTCTTGGTAGATATAAGCTGATTTAATTATCCTTGTTTACACTGTTGAAAGTTAAAAATCATCTATTTCAAATAGAGGGCGACGAGAATGTAAGATCAATAGCCTCTTATACGACACACCTCGAAACCATCTTTTCTCAAGTTAATCTATGGAACCTTCGGAAATGTCGGATTGGGTTTTGGCTCTGCATGGATCAAGTTATGCTGGTGGGATCAAATAAGCACCGTTCCCCTCGTCCTTCGCCTGCCCGTTTGCCTATTAAAGATGAAGATGGGGATGTACTAATGAATTGGACAGATCAATCGACGAACGTTGACCTGAAAAGCGCTGTCATTGAATTTTTTTGGGAAAAATTGGTGTTGAAAGAGAAGATGGATCGTTCCATTCTTGCTTACATGATTCAAGACATTAGGGAAGATGTCATTAATGAGGTGCGTTCTATCGTAATTATATTTTTCTCGGTTCATTTGTTAGCTTCTCGACATTTAACTTTTTTTTTTCTATTGATAGCTTCTTGGTTATGGGCTTGGCGTATTAAAACGATGCAAGGAGTTAGTTTCCGATATAGAAGAAGTTTTCAGAGCACTGTTGATTCCTATTAATCATGATAAGAAATTGGATTTCTGCGAAGATCTTCTAGATCAGGTCAAAAAAATTAACGATGAATTCCAAAAGGACACTTCGGATGATTCTAATTTGAATTTGAAGAGAGTAGATGCATATGTATCTAGGTAATTGAATGTTTCTTTCTTTGTGTACTTTCGAGTGTCGACATTCACTAATACTATTTTAACCTGTCAGAGTAATGTCACGTGTTAAGTTGTTGGTGCTTGGAACTCACGTAATGACCGAACGAGTAAATGCCGTCATCACGTCAAATAGTCAAGAGGTAGCAAACAGGAAAAAAGAATACTTACTGATTGTCAAATGGGTGGTGATATTAGTTAATCTGCTTTGCGATCAACGCATTCATCGTAACGGCGGTGGAGCCGCCCATTTTGAATTGTTGTTGGACCTGGTTTCCTTTTTGTTGGATGGTAAAAAAAAATTTTTTTTTTATGTCAATTGCCTCGCAATATCCTCGAATCATGTAGCGAAATTTGTTTTTGTAATTTTTAGAAATGGGAAAAAATGCTCGTGCGATTTTTGTTGCAGAATTGAAGGTAATCTATTATTGTTAGAATTCCACTTGTTCCCTTCAAGAAACTTTATTGACTTCTTTCGTTCATCAAAATTTTGCATCTTAATTGATAGCAAGTAAGTTATTCTCTACAATATAAAGTTAAATATACTTTATGTATCTAACAATTGTAATTATTATTATTATTTTATTTTTTTAGAATCATAATAAATTCGATATACCTGCAATATGGAGCAACCGAATCAAGCGAGTTCTTCCTTTTACCTTCAACCCAGAGACTGTTGGCGAAGGAAAGAAACATGTCATTGATCCTTGGTTAAAGATAGAATGCTTGGGAGAAAGTGATGATTTAAATAATTCGCCGATTGACCTGTCATGGTATAATGCAAAGGTTTATCCGAGACCCAACAAAAGATTGAGGAGGTTCGATAGCTATTAATTTAACAGCAATGTCGACAGTTTATTCTAAAAGCAATACGAATTCCGCTTAATCATAAAAAAATTCTATTGGATTTACTAAAAATCGAACTTTCCTCTAGACTATTTATTATTTAGATTATATTTTCTTTCGAAAAGGAACCTATGAACTATTATTTACACTGTATAAAATTATCTGATCTATAAAAAAGATTGAAGGACATTTTTTTTTTGTGGAAAACGAGAATGTAGTTTTAGAAAAGATATTAGCATAATTTTTATTATAACATCATTCAGTTATTGACTATCTCCCTAAGATTTGTAACATAGTTGTATATGATTTAATTTAGACTTCTTTATTCAAATATCAAAAAAGAGAATTTCGACGGAAGCAGAGCAAACAATGAACAGTGATTTATGAAGTTATACGCAAATTATAATTCTTTAATTCTCTATTATGCAATGTTAAGATGGAAGGAAAATCTCGGAGTTTTGTCTAAGTTGATTGTCATTAAGAAAAAGCAAGAAATTTAAGAATACGCATACTCCGTAGGCTTTAACTGTAACATAAAAATTTTTGCCTTTTAATTCGGAAACAAATGATTGTTTAATAATTTTTATAAATACAAATTTTATGGTTCTGTTATGACATGATCAATTCATCTTTAGTACATTACCAGATAAGGATAGACTTTTTAATAATATCATATTCTTCTACACTAGCACGCAAAAATTTTGTAACCGATTTTTTTGCCATTCGATTTAGACGACAAAAAAAAAATCATAATGTTTGTAATAATCACAAGTTTATTACAAAAGTGATGCATTTTTTTTTCCTGTTTCAATGCACATATATTTAATTGGAAGTTATATACTGTATAAGCAAAATAAAAATTATAGATTTATTAATGTTTACCACCTTGTGCTTTAATAACATTATTAATTCATTCTGGCATGGTATCTATGTATAAGCTTATTACAAAAGTCAACACTAATACTATCTCATGCTATTTTTAAATTTTCTTACAAGTCATTCTTATTAAAAACTGGATCAGATGATTTTCTTAAATACCTATAAACCTTATTTCATAAATTTTCTATTGGGTTTAAATCAGGAAATTGAGATGGTCAATCTAATAATGTAACAAAATTCTTACAAAACCATTTCTTACTTAATTTGACATATATTTTGAATTATTTTCTTGTTAAAAAATACTATAATTTTTATCAATATTAAATCATAAAAATATATTTAACAATAAAATTTAAAATCTTCTGATAAAGATTATTATTTATATTTTTTTCAATATTAACTAAATAATTAATACCTTTATACTAGTCAAAAAATATTTATTCAGCATAATGTCACTTGTGTAACATTTATCAAAAAAAAATAAATAATTTGATATATTAATGACATAAATAAATCATCAATCAATTTTTACTATATAATTTAACATATAATTTGATATTTTTTTTTTTTTTTTTTTTTTTTAGAAAGGATAACGAAACCCAGTTTATTGAAGTCAATAGAACAGACCTTACATATTAATCTAGCATTAATTACAGGACAATTATATAATTAATTTTATACTAACTATAGCAAGTTATATCCATCCTACCATTATATCCATAAACCTGATTGTAACACCTTGTGTATCCCATGGCTTATTGCCAGAAGAAGCCCTACTATCCCACTACCTATGTCTGTATTACCCTTCCCTGATTCTTATTTCTATAGGCCTGGGGTCTGTAACATAGAACCCCTTTCATATCTCATCCTGTCGAATATTTTTTTTATAGTACTTATTACAGTATGCCTATGGAATACCCACATAAAGTTTTAGATGTCATCTCATTCCACCAGAGCACTCTTTTTACATGACCTATTATAACCTACCTATAGAGTGACCACGTGGAGTCTTGGATGGATGTCGATTTGATAGAGACCCTCTTCTAACTAACATGCCTAGGCTTTACTAGCTTTCTTGATTTTTACGATATGCAGATCTTCAACCTATCTGTAGGAACTTGAAAGAATCTGTCTTGTAACGAGGTAGCTTCAATACTAAAACCATTTGAAGCATCTTGTGATCTTTGGATATCACATAATTGGATGAAGTCTTGACCAAAAATGGTTAGACCATCATCATGAAACAGATAAGATCTTTTTGTACTACCTAGGCTTTAGATGGTATTGTCTTGCAGTGATATTGAACTTAGAAACAATACTTGATAATCTGGAAGCATTACCACTATACTATTGATCCATAGGTCCCATATAATTTAATATAAATAAATCATCAATCAATTTCTACTATATAATTTAATATTATTTGTTATATTTGTATTATTTTTACTATATATTTTATTAAAATTTTTCTCAAAAAATCATTAGATATTCACTAAAATTTCAAATTTTATCAAAATTTACATATTTGTCAAATTTTAATTATATATTATATTTATGATTTAAAAGAATTACAGCTAAATATTCATAAAAGTCTTGCCAATTTGTGATTCTATACAGTATATAAATGAAATAAATTTATCAAAAATATTATGAATAGGGATTATATATTTACATTTAACTAGATAAAATTCAATATTCTACAATTCAACATTTGCATTATTTTCAAATTCAAAATAAAATCTATTTTCTACTGAATTAACTAGTTTGTATACTGAATAAAGGTCAATCGATATTCAATAACAATATTCAGAAAGTTTGCCAAATATATAAAGAATAATTGAACTTATCCCAGATATAAATCGACACTTTCATCATGATTCATGAATCTAGTTAATATAAATGAGTCCTTAATATTTCATAAGAACATAACAGAATCGAATATTTCACTTCCAATTTAATATCTACCATATTAATCTATTCTATTTCGAATAATTATCGAATTTTTTATTATCTTTTGTAAATAATCTCTAAAAGTCCATAGTTTCATAAAAAGCCTTATAGTATTTGACTAATAGATCTAATATTTTGACAGATATCTCTAAATTTGATTTTTTCAGATGCAAGAGTTTATCTGAAAAATATTCAAATCCATTGATTATTGTTTCATGAATATTATATGTATTGTTTAAAAATTGATATAACTCATCAGTCAAAAACTAATTTAGTTCAAAAATTGAGCCATATTTGATTGATTATTTAAAATTTTAAACCCCTGATTATTAGAATAGAACATAGTTAAATTAATAATTCAACAATCATTCATCAATTTTCACCTTAATTTAGATTCAATATTTTGATAACTATTAAGCAATGAATCTAGATTAAAAATTTGTTAAAATTCTACTTCCGAATATTAAATTTGTTTAAAAAACCTATCTAATATACCATTTATTCTCTCAAATAAAAAGCACCAAAATATATATAATGATCTATAATTACATACGTATTCATATAAATGTAACAAAAAATAAAAATTTGGAGTAATCGTTTCTTATCTATATTTTTGTTCTATTAGTTTAATAATTACGATTAATCTTTCATGAGTCTCATTTAACAAATTTTGTCTTAAAATTTGATATACTAAGATTTAACAAATCTTGATAAAATTTATTAGAATTTGATGATCCATATCTGAAAAATGATTTCATAGAACAATAGTTGTATATATTATGAAAAATTTCTTCACTGATTGACAGTAAAATTTGAAAATTCTTTGCTACTATTTACTTTTCTTGAAATTCAGTCAATATCTGATAGCACTTAAAAATTTTTCATCATTGATTATATTTCAATCAATGTATTATTTGTCAGTATTCCTTCTTTGATCTATATTCATTTAATAAGCCATTTACTAATACTTAAGAAAAGACAGTATATATAATCAATAACTAAATGTTGAACTGGATCAAAATAAGGTAGGTGAAGGAATTCAGACCACCTGGTATAATTTTTACTGACAAAATATTTTTGTGCTGCATTTGAGCTATAGCACCTCTATTTGATAGAATATTGTTTATATGTTGCCAATCTCTTGGTATAAACCATTCATTTATATCCTCCATATTATTAAAATTATTATAATTATTTTCATAATTGGCATTCTTTTTGTAATAATGATATGACACTAGTGCCAAAATGTGCCACACACTTTTTGTGCAGTAGGAATATTACATCAAATTAAAATTAAGGCTGCTCAAATTATTTTTTCCTCTTCATTTTCAGCAGTTGAATCAAGCTTTATTTCTTACTATAATTGCATCAATTTGTCAACAATTGGAGAAAGGTAATGGTTTATTTGGTGTAAACTTGGTTTATTAGGACCTAATAATATGCCAAGAATCAACATATTTTCATGTTT